GTTGGGCAGTTGCAGCTGTGAAGGGTTAGGGAGCGTGTGGCTGTGGGGGGATGGGTGTTGCGCCACAGAGGACCCAGAATCAAACCTGTTAAAGAATTCGTTGGCCATCTCCAGGTTCCCTTCTGTTGCACCCCCAGCCTGTTTGAAGCCAGTGATCTCTCTCATGCTGCTCCATACGTCTCTCACCCTATTGCTTTGTAGCTTGTCCTCTACCTTCCTCCTGTAGGCGTCCTTGCTCTCTCTTAACTTCTGCTTTAGCTCCCTCTGTACACGCTTGACCTCTTCCTTATCTCCCCTCCTAAAGGCTCTCTTCTTGTCATTCAGAATAGCCTTCAGGTCGCTGGTGATCCAGGGTTTGTTATTTGAAAAGCAGTGTATGTCTTTGGTGGGGATGGTGTTGTCTACGCAGAAGTTAATATAGTCAGTGACACAGTCCACCATGCTGTCTATGTCGTCCCCATGTGGTTTGCACAGCACATCCCAGTTGGTGGCCTCCAGAGCACCACGTAGATCCTCCATAACCTCCTGAGACCATCTCCTCACAGTCCTCATGGTCACAGGTTGGCGCTGGACAATAGGCTTGTATAGTGGTGTAAGCAAGAGAAGGTTGTGATCTGATCTGCCAAGGGGGGGAAGGGCTGTGGAACTATATGCATCCTTAGCATTGGCATATAATAAGTCCAGTGTTTTGTTTTCTCTGGTCGGGCACTTAACAAACTGGTGGAAAGTAGGCAGAGTGGTGGAAATAGATACGTGGTTAAAGTCCCCTGAAATAGCTATAAAAGCACTTGGGTGCTTTGTTTGTAGCCTGGCTGTGACTGTGTTTATGACGTCACACGCTACCTCTGCATTTGCCGTAGGTGGAATGTAAACAACAACAAAGATGGCGCATGTAAACTCCCGCGGCAGATAGTACGGACGCAGTCCTACGGCTACCAGTTCGATGTCCGGGTTACAGACGCGCTCCTTAACATGAGTATGTCCAGGATTACACCATCTGTTGTTTACAAGCACCGCGAGCCCCCCTCCTTTCCTCCTTTCCGCACTGTCTGAAAGACGCCGATGGTAACGTTCGAGTCCGGAATAAGTTCCTGCAGCCACGTCTCGGTGAAACACATGATACTGCATTCACGATACTCCCTCTGGCTTCTCACCAATGCTCCCAGTTCGTCCATCTTGTTCACTAAGGACCGCACATTTCCCATGATGATCGAAGGAAAGTAGGGTTTAAATCTCCTTCTCTTCGCCTTTCGCGTCGCACCAGCCCTACAGCCTCGGCTTCTCCTCCTCAGCTCCTCCGGCACCGATGGCTTCTCTCCAGTGAGTAGAGCTGGATGCGCTAGCGCGATCAGCTGGTCCCGCGTGTAGACAATGCCTCTGTGGCTATCGGCA